TAATGTGCTAAATCATCATTTTATGGTTGGGCTCTGCCTTTCGGTCATGGTTCATATCATTTGCATATATTCTTTGCAGATATTCAATCTGATGCAGCACTAAACAGGGAAGCAGGGAGGGAGGCAGGACTGTCAGAAGGAGAGACATTCGCACTGGCCAACTTCACATACTCCAACTCTGCCATTCTCCAGAGGATGTTTCACCATATCAGCTCCACTGATTTTTTTTGCCCTTTCTGTGAGTATATTCACTGTGATAACTAGCAATCAAGTAATCTCCTTCAATACTTTAGGACAGAAGAGTAAACTTCAATGAAAAGCGGAGACGGATATTGACAACTTTGCAAATTGGCCAATACATCCCTTCTGGTGAGTAACTAATTGTTCTTAACCAGTGTTATGACATATTTTGCATCTAACAGGAAATTCTCTAGCTCATGTTGAGGTTGGACTAGCGTCCTTTGATAATTCCACCCTTGAAATTCTTGAAGAGAACAAACTCTGGCCATGTCAGCCATAATAAAATCTGTACAAGTGGTTATTAAAATATTCATCTTATCTCTTTATTGCTCAGATGGTGTTCCAACAGACGGGACTCCCAGAGTCAATATCGTGACTGTATCTCTGGGAAATATTGTATGTTTTACTCTTCTCGGAGTAATTGGAATTTTCTATGCACTGGCCTACATGCTATTCAACTACATCAATCGCCACAAGAAGTATGACACATTAAACCTTTGTTCTTGTTAAACACAATTTGTACTGAGTTTTGGTGTTACAATGTATGCAGGGTTATTCGTCTGTCGAGTCCTAACCTAAACTACCTCATAGGAATTGGTGCTATCATTCTCTACATCAACATTATCACTCTGACAATAAGACACTCAACTGAGGAATCATTGGCAGTTGTCTATAATGTGAGAAGAAACTCTGTTGTCATTCGAACACCTCGAGATTCTTTTCTTACTCAGATGAACCCTTGGCTCACAAACATTGGTTACTCACTCTGCTACGGGACCATTTCCAGCAAGATGATACGAGTGTGGTACATTTTCAACAATCCTGTCCTCAGAAAGAAGTTTGTAAGTAGCTAGTAGCCAAATACTGCAAGTGAAAGCTTTTACCAAGACTTAGCCTCTTATGAAAGGTATCTTTCTCTGTCAATGCTGAAAAAAACAGTGCCTCTGTGTTGTGTATTGAGGCTTTTGAACGGTCGCATGTCTAGAACAAAGTGTATTATAAAGCATTGCTGGACGTTGGGGTTGAACTTTTTTACCATTGGTTCTCTTGTGCTTTACATTTGAAATATCTATTGTTGCCCCCCTGCAGACTTTAAAGGACCACCATCTTGGACTCATTGTGGGAGTGTTCGTGGTGGTTGATGTTGTTATGTTGGGGACCTACACCATAGTTGAGGGAGCCAGAGGAAACCTAAGAGCAGTACTCATCAGAAGTGCTGAAAATCCAGAGAGACGGATCGGGGGTAAGAAAAGAGAGAACGTTTTAACAAAATAATCAGAGCTTTAGTATAGTCGCTGTGTATGGCACAGGTGAAACCTACTGTTATGTCAAAATGCTACACTTTGCTAAACCTTTAAACACAAAAGTAGCAGTTTACGGGTCCACATTCAAATGGCCAAAATTCTCATCGTTCGTTATCTTTTACTAAGAGAAAATTCAGCATTATGCCAACTCGGACTACGCATAGAGTAGCAGCAAACACAGACAGTGCCCTACCATCACACTGATGGACTTAGGAAGGTTTAAAACTCTTTGGGGCCCAATTTATTGCGTTGCGTTGTTATTACTCGCAATGGGCAAAGCTGGAATGCTCATATTAAAGAGCTCCTCCCTGCTGTTTTACTCTAATTGTGCGACATAATTATTTTCTAACCGACCTTGGCCAAATGTGGCTGTCGTGCATTGGTTGCTCTTGCAGAGCATCTAGTAATGCTGCAATGACAATCGGGCTTTGTGTAGGAATCTTCTAGTTCCCTTGTTTTACTTTTCAATTTTTACTATATTCATTATGTTTTATCTAGTTCATTGTTTTCGGGCTTTTGCTTGGAAAAAAACACTTTTACTAGTGAATAAAGTGTGACTGAAGTGCATTTCTTTTATCTACACGCACACACACACCACACACACACATAAAACAGCCAACTGCAGAGGTTCACCACTATTACTACTACGGGACCTCTTCAACTGGGCAGTTGATTTGGTTTGCAATCCTCAGTTTCGAGAAGGCTGTTGTCCATGTCATAGTCCTCTACCTGGCACTCCGCACTAGAAAAGTCAAAATGAAAGGACTTGGTGATTCCAAGTTCATTATCGCCGCCACTTATTCCACGAGTATTGTCCTAGTCATGTCCCACATTGGTATCTACAGTTTATACAAGGGGTTTCTCAACATTTTCATTGCTACTGTTGCTGGGAACTTTTTTATTTCTACTACAACTATTCTCTCCATAGTTTTCATACCAAAGGTATAATGACTCTTTCAGGAATGTAAAGACCTTATGAATGTAAGGATGAACTTTGTTTACCCACAATCTCTAATTTCAGATACTCATCCTGTGGAAGGACCCAACAGGGAAAGGAAGTTCAAGTTATTTCACAAGGACGATTGGAGGTGCTTTGGAGAGTGCTGATGCAGCAGATAGGGAGAGGGAGAAAATGGTTCTTCAGAGGGAGATAGAGCAATTGGAAACTCAATTGCAGAGTGGTGTGTGCACGGTAAGATCACCAACCTACATTATTAATGCGTGAGTGCACGCCAGCGTCAACTGTGGTTCCGAGGCTATTAAGATTGATGATTGATTTCCTTTTGCTACAATGTAGGAAGCTGCGGCCGTAAGGGCAGAGAACGCTGCAGATGAGGACAAGGCTAATCACGCACCTAGTAGCTAGCAATATGATCACAGACACTGTGAAAGTGTTTTAATAAACTGCCACTATACCTGTGCTCTAACATTATACATAAGTGTGATCTTGACATTGTTATTTTATGTGCTGTGCATGCTCACAGTGAACTTTTGATGCCAATGACGTAGTATAATGGCAACAACTTAAAGCAAAGCAAAAATTTTCAGGTCCCATCAACGAAAGCTGATAGCTAGGAAGCTAAGTGCCTGTGTATAGGCGCGGGTCAAATCTCATGAAGGCGAGGTTGTGGAGTCATTTAGGTGTTAGCCTGTAAAGGTGTCTAAATTCATTGATAGCTGAAGCCTATCTGCAGAGTATTTATACCCTAATGAAGGGGTTAGTTTGCTCCATTTTTATGCTAAAGTCATAGTCAGCAGTGAAAGCAAGCAACTTTATCTTGTCATTTTATATATACCACAGTTAAGCTGCTGTTCCACGCACCGTAACTTTATGATACATAGCTACATTGAAGTTTTCAACTTGTAATGACGTCTCCAACAGCAACAAAGCAACAATTATAGCGCTGAAGTTCTCCACCCTATGGAAACAACTGCGAGCTAATGCGTTTGCATGGGTTTGTGATCGAAAGAGAATGAACCAAGATCGAAAGGAAATGAGCCAAGGAGATTTTGACTGAGTAGAAGGATACACTGGTGGCTAATAACACCAATTACCCTCGGGACCCAACCTGGAACAACGGCGAACGAACGCAGAGAGTGCGACCCTGACCACAGTTTGTCCATTTCTGGCTCCTTCCTTTAGCAAGGCAGGAAATTCTAAAAAAAGAGCGTCCATGAACTGATTTTCGGTCGTGTGGACACGGCGCCGGTCCCCTGTTCTACCCACGCGCTGTTACGCGTGCGTGCTCATTTTAGGACTTATAATACTCGCGTTTTTGAAGTAATCGCACATTGAGTGTGCATAGGCAAGAGATGGACTCACTAAGTACGCTTCTACTTACTCTGCAATTATTATCGCTGGCATTCGCAGCTACTCCGTGGCCGTACCTCCAGATATATCCCCCAGTGAACCAAACTGACAAGCGAACGCCGCTTTACTTCGCGCTTATGCTGTCAACGACTAGTTTTCGGAGCATCCTAGTACTGCCTGGAGTGCAGATAGCACTGGACTACATCAACAATGAACCCTCCATCCTCCCTGGATACAGTCTTCACTACACACTTAGCGATTCTCAGGTAACTAGCATAATTCTTGAGGATGATAGAAGTATAGATGCAACTGAGTTTATTATAAGTACCTGTCTTTCTTACTTTTTACAGTGTGATCCTTCAGTGACTGTTGCTGGTGTTTTCAACCAACTGCAGCAGAGTCCGACTAAGCTGGGCTGGTTGGGCTCTGGGTGCCTCACTGCCACTGAGTTCAGTGCTCCCCTCACTCAGCTCTACAACATCACTCAAGTAGCTAAGTTAATGTGTCTTGTGAAGCAATTGCTTTAAAATACATGACTTTTTTAACTGCAGATTTCATGCGTTACAAGCTCACTAAATTCAAATGACAGGACAAAGTTAAAGTGTGTTTAGTCAGATGTTGAATGCAGTTACACTCTAGCTTTGATAGGATGCTCTGCAGGTACTACTTTCAGCTACATCCTCTGATAACAGTACTAAATAGAGGGCTTATTGGGCTCTTGAAAAAGTACGGTTGGAAGAGAGTGGGCCTGATAACATGGCGAGAGTCTTACTTTTCTATGGTTAGATAACATACAAACTTTGCAATGTCAGTTCAGTTACTGTGTGCGTAGATTGCAGATCATTTCAAGCAACTTTTAACGGAAAATGACATAGAGCACTCGGAGAGACTTGTGTCAATTGCGGGATTTGAAGTCAATGGAGATCCATTTGTGAGTCCTTTAACTCTGCAACCCATTCCACTTGTGACAATTCACATCATCCTATAGTGCCTTAGTTCGGTTGAGTTGAGTAATGTAAGCGGAACTTTGGCAGTTGCAGCAACGGAGGCCATGCAGTGAATGTCCTTTGTAATGAAGTGTCAGAAAGTGAAGCTTTAGAGAAGTTGGATGGTTATTTAGTCTCTCTAATATAGCTAACAATAGGATGATTATATACAACAATAACACAACTTTGCTTGTCACATTTTAGGATGCAGACAAGAGAATATATGTATTGATTGTGGCATCCATACAAGCAAGGCAGCTTCTCTGTGAGGTGAGGGAATGGAGTCTCAACATCTCTTTGTATTGATACAACCTTATACAACAGCTGTCCCTTACATTTGATGAGTCACAACAGGACGAACTATAGTCAAGGAAATTTGATCCTAGATATATACACAGTAGCTACTGTCGGTAACTTTCGTAGGGTGAAACTTTGAATTAGCTATAGTTATCTCTTTGATGTATGAAAATTACAAGAAATCAAGCCAGTGTAGAGCTGAACCCGTCAGTGCCGCTCTTTGGTCAGTTTTGTTATATGTGGCGGCAGAAAACGTGGTAATTGACAGACACCCACGTTTTGAAACAAAGTACAGTAACCCTCGCTGAAGGTTAATAACGGCCAACGTTCACAATTGAACGTGAGTATAAATACGGAAATTTTCCAAAAGGAAATAATCCGCCATAGGGTACTGTTGTTCTTATCCTAACTTTCCTATGACATCTCTGGTTTTGAGTTTTGCTGTTTTCCATGGGTAACAGTAAAAAAAAACACGTCAAATATCACATTATTATCATCTCTTACAGGCACATAAGAGGGGTTTGCGGTACCCTAGGAACCAGTTTCTGCTGATTGGAGAGTACACTGATACATGGCTGAGGGAACCAAATCCTGCCAGAGATCTCGGCTGCTCTCTCGAGGAGAGAGAGATTACATTTGGTCTCTCACTGACAGTCAACCTACCAGACCATCCACAGGATAATGTGACATTACCTTATGGAGGATTGGTAAGATATCCAAGAGTTTATTACACCATCTAAGGTGGTTGGATTTCGCTAAAATGGTGGTTGTGCTTTGTAATGTGCTATAGCTGTGGTTTTGACGTTTAAATGCTCAGAGTAAGGCCACAGCTAGTTTGAATATAGTGTCCAAGGGAACAAACTGTTTTGCACTGTTCTGTTGTTGTTCCGTTTGCTTACGACATGCTTTCAACATCAATACCTGCACTTATAGCCCTACCACCTAGCCCATCTAGGGTATTATGAATTATTGGTGCCATTTTTAGTTCCAACTTCACGGTTAATATAGAGAAGTATTACACTGTAGAAATATATACATGTATCATGATGCAGGTGACACCCCACTGCTTTCATTCATACAGACAGCAGCTGCCTTCAGACAAGAGTTTTTCAGACAGGCCCGCAATCCCCTGAACAACGACCTCAACATAGCTGAGCTCATAGGTGACATGTTCCCTTCATTTGCTCCACCTTGCCATGAGACAACGCTTGCACTGGCACTTGCCCTGCACAACACAAACGAAGGTATGGATTGCTGAAGAAGCGCACTAAGCCAACTAAGTCATCTGAATATACATTTTTCACATGTTGTGACCTACACTACTGCATTGCACTTATACGTGATTCTAAACACGCAAAAACACGAAAATCTAACACTCGCAAAAAATGTGTTACATTTCTGTGGTATTATTGATTGCATGTAGTCCACCCCTTGGACTAGGAAGTTGTGTCGATATATTATTTACTACAAGGTTGTCTTTCCAGATTTGAAAAATGACTCAACACTAAACAGGGAAGCATGGAGAGAGGCAGGACTGTCAGAAGGAGAGACATTCACACTGGCCAACTTCACATACTCTAACTTTGCTATTGCTCAGCGAATGTTTTACCACCTCAACCGCACCAACTTTCTTGGAGTAACTGTATGCTAATTACTGAAACCCTGAGCGACTCCATAATAATTAGTTTCGCATGTTTTCAGGGACACAGGGTTGAATTTGAACAAGATGGAGTAAGAACCACCGACTATGTCATGATAACTCAATATACACCAGGCAAAATTGATACAGGTACAAATGAGTAGCTATTAACATAAAGCATGATCCATAACTATTCTTTAACATGCAGATGGATTGTACCATACAGTTGGATCAGCCTTTCTGTCAGATGATGGCAGCAATGAAGTTCGTTTCATGTCAAACATTTCTGATAGCATCTACTGGCCAGGCAAGAAACACGTGACACAATAGGACACTACAGTAAAACAGGGGCTGGGCATGGTTATGCAGTTGACCTTTCTGCTTCAGATTCACTGGTTTAAATGGGGATGAGAGCCTGTTTACCTGTCTATGGGTGCATAAAATCTATGCAAGTAACTATATATGAGCGTTATCGCATTGGTGTTTCTGTACTGTTCAGCAGCTGCAATGTAAGCTTGATCACTTAACTCACCAAAATGCTCTGTCACCTAGTAGTTGCTGCGTACATAGCAACCTGCAAAGACTTTTGTGCTAGATTGTTGTTAGTGCACTACTCAGCGTTAATCGGTAGCAGACCCTCTAGGTTTCAGTTCCACACACAAGGCTTTTGTATATGCATCACATGCATGAAGACCTGTGCCATCCCTATAGAGAGTATCTGCCAATGATTTCATACACTCCTGAAAACATAACCTTAAAACCCTTTCGACGCCATGGGTATCCTCTTAAAAAAGCAGATTTTTATGTATTAAGTATTAGCGCCTAGTACTATAACTCCCATAAAAATTCTGGACACTTGTGTCCATGGCTGGTTAAGAGTTAATAAGCATGGTACGACCGGACACTGGTAACATTGCCACCTGTTCCACAGAGGGTATTCCTAATGATGGGACTCCAGTCAGGAACATAGTCACCGTATCACCAGCAGTGACGGCCATATACAGCCTAGCCTCAGTGGCTGGATTCATACTAGCATTTGCTTGTGCTGTATTCAACTTCGTTCACCGAAAAAAGAAGTGAGTTTCTGTTGTACTGCAAGCAAGGTTTCCCGTAGCCATTCATTTTACGAATGCAAAACACTTTTATGGTAGCACTGCGTACAGAGAGTGGCTAGGCAAAATGATGAATCACTGTTCTTTCTGCAGACTAATACGGCTCTCCAGTCCAAAACTTAACTACATTATCATTTTGGGAGCAACATGTTTCTATGTCAGTAGAATATTCCTCGTTCTACCATCACTGGATCCAAATGTCATTGTGGTACATTGCAATGTGAGCCACACGGATGTGTACTACTACATATATTTATCTGAGTGTTCATTGCTTGGATTAACTGCAGCTTACTCCAGTGATAATCTTCACTGGCTACTCCATGTGCTATGGAACCATCTTAGTGAAGATGTTCCGGGTATGGTACATCTTCAATCATCCCAGTTTACAAAAGAAATATGTAAGTGTATGTAATTCATACTGCTCCCCTAATGAATGGTAGGATGTACTTCATTATTTTCACAGATCATTACAGACTGCTACCTGATGGGACTAGTGGCAGCCTTTGTTGGCCTGGATTTGGTCATGATGCTTACCTTCATCACTGTTCAGGGATTCAGGAATCGACTGGTGGCCACTCTAGCACCGAGTGCTGAACGTCCCTGGGTTCTAGTTGGAGTGAGTGTGAAATCTTTGCGTACCATGTATTATTATGAATAGGTATCATCTCTTTCTGTTTGGTGTGTAGCCTGCTGACTTCTCATTGATATTTTCAGGCATTTTCTGGGTGTTCATTATACAACAAAATTGAGACTATGTACACCGAAACCAGGCATTTGGCTTATTGATGTGCGTGCATACGGGGTTTGCTGTCAGTTTTGGGCACTTGGTGGACTTAAAGAGAGTTTAACACAACGAAGAGCATAGTCATGCTAGACCTGCATACAAACCCTGTATCCATGAATATAATTATCGGAACATTAATGGCTGGTTTTGGTGTAGCTATGACCTGGTCACATTTTCGTTTTTCTACACCGACAGCCAACGGAGGTTGTGAAGGAAAACTATGTGTACTCCTGTAGTGTTGAGGGCCGTGGTGTCCTCATCATCCTCCTCTATATCAGCAAGATAATCCTCCAAATCGTTTCTCTTATACTGGCCTTCCGTACAAGAAAGGTCAAGGTGAAGGGTCTGGATGACTCCAAGTACATATCAGCAGCCATATACATCACCACTGCTGTTCTACCGGTGTCTGTGTTTGCATCGTTCACACTGAGAAGCCATGTGAATGCCTTTCCGGCCATCGTGGGAGCAGCACACTTCTTTGGAGCCACAGCCATCCTTCTACTTGTGTTTGTGCCTCGAGTAAGATTTCCCACAGCTGTGATGTTTTTCAGAATGAGATAAATAGGCTGATTGGCAGCCATAATGTCGTGTTCAATGTTGTCGAACCTAAGAGAGGTGTAAAATTTGAAGCCTCATATTATCTTGACATGGGGAGGTAAATCATTGCCACCAAACAATAAATGTGACATCTTGTAATTCAATGCATTTTGTCTTCTTGTGTGTGCTAATTTGTTCTTTCACTGCCCAGATGGTGGGTCTGTACAAGGATCCAAGTGGAGAGAATGTGTTTCAGGGCAAGGGAAACACTATTGCACAGAAAGAAAGTAACATTATGACACTTCGTAGAGATGCCCAACACCTGAGGGTCTCCCTGCACCTTGCACAGGTGAAACTTTTGTGTACAACTGCCATAAAATTTGAAATATATTTTCTTGTTACCTTTCATTAATGTGTTAATATTAAGCTCATTGGTGTGACATTATCCAATATGGCTCCTTTTTATATATGTGTGGAATATTTTTAGAGGGTTGTACATTTCAGTGGGAATTCAATTGTACATTTGCAGAATTCTTAAAATAAACATCCCACAGTCCTGGGATCAGTGACTTAAAAAGTCAACTTTCTCTTCAACAGCAGACTATTATCATTATCCTGTTTCTGCAGAAAAAGAAGAAAGGAACCGTACATACTGAGGGCACAGACAGCAGTGATCATGAACCAGCCCCACAACCCAAGCAGGCCATTGTCAAACCATGCATCAGAATGAACAACCGACACCCCACAAATGATTACTACATTAGTCCTCAAGTCCATGCCTCATCAGTAGCTAGAGATGAAGAAGAAGAAGAGAAGATTGAGCCAAAGAATGTTGCACCAGTGAAGCCTTGTCTCCGGTTCACTGAGAGCTCTTCAACAGAGGACAATGACTACGCCCATGCCCAGATTGTAAAGTGACACCCACCACTAACACATGTGAAGTGTAGCTAGTACGTTTATTATTAGCAGGTGTATGTTATTATTGTATTCACCTTACAAGTATAATACATCCATTGACGTTTGAGATGTGTGATTATCGGTGTTATTGCCATTAGCAATCGATCAATCAATCGATCAATCAATCAATCAATCAATCAATCGTTGCAAGGACCCACTAGGGCATGGCAGGTACATGCATACACGAGCACAGTATAGGTGTACAGTACAGAACTAGCACTGTCCCCGGTAAATACGGCATTCACTTGAATGTGCACCACTCTTCACAGTGTCTTATGCGCATGCGTAGACCACCGGAAGCGAGATTAAAAACGGGCGGGTCTCGTGAGATCAAGTGAGATCTTGCAAAAATGAAGCTGCTACCTCTGTACCTGCTAGTCAATACCTTTCGCTCTTTGGTGTCTTCCGCTGCTTCGTGGCCTTACCTGCAGATCTATCCTCCAGTCAACGCCAGTGATGGTCGAATACCTCTATACTTCACTCTTATGCTGTCCAGCGCCAACTTCCGCAGCATTATAGCTGTGCCTGGGGTCCAGATAGCACTGGACCACATCAACGGTGAACCATCCATCCTCCCTGGATATAGTCTTCATTACACACTTAGCGATTCTCGGGTAACTGCTTTAGCTAGCTAGTTAGCACTAACACTGTAATGGGGCTCGTTTTATTGCAGTGCGATGCAAAGACTACAGCGGATAGAACGTTCCAGCAGCTACAGCAGAGTCCGGTAAAGCTGGGCTGGCTTGGCTCTGGCTGCTCTGTCTCCACTGCCATCACCGCTCTCTGGACCCAGCTCTATAATCTCACTGAGGTAAGGTGTACTGGGTTTGCCCTGCTACCTCGTTATTTACGCATGTGTCAACGACGAGGTAACGAGGTAACAGAAAGGCAAGGCAAAGGCAACAAGTCAACTAAACCCAGGACAGCTCCTTCTTTTGAAGGAAAAAAAGAAGCGCTGCCCTGGGTGGGATTCGAACCCACGACACTGCTTTCTAAGCGAGTGCTCTACCAACTGAGCTATATATAAGTATACACATAGTACTTTTACTCACAGGTTTCATGTCTGTCTGCATCACCTACTTTGACAGACAGAGACACGTACAGGTGAGTCTGTTTAAGCTCTTATCATAAGACCTGTTGGTTGACTCTCTCGCTCCACAGGTATTACTTCCAGATGCAGCCAAGTGCTGTTGTATTAGGAAAGGGTCTCATCGCAATCATGAACGCGTATGGATGGAAACGATTTGGTATCATAACATGGCTAGACCCTGTTTACTCATCGGTAAGAAATTTGGACATAGCTAATGAAGGTGTCTCTGATTCCTCTTTAATATGCTATTATGCAGGTTGCAGATGCGATCAAGAAAGATTTGGAAGCATTTGATTTTGGCTATTCAGAAACTTTTATAACTCGTGACGGCCTTGTTTTCAGAACCGGTGCGAAAGAAGAAGGGGATCCTTTTGTAAGTATTGTTCCTTGCAGATCAGTCTTTGGCATATGAAAATCAACACTCTTCAACTGTTGTCACTGTTTCTTTGACTATAGGATCCTGAGATGAGAGTATTTGTATGGGCTGTCCCACCAGACCATGGGAGGCGGCTGGCATGTCAGGTTGGTGTTCACTATATACTGCAACATTAACTGTGTGCTAAATGTTGTAGCTAGTTATGGTTGAGCTGACAGTGTAGAGAGCCCTAGGAGACAAACGACAAAGAGTTTTTTGTTTTGTTGATGCAATCACTTTCTTTGGCAGGCTTATCAAAGAGGACTGAGGTACCCAACACACCAGTTCTTCATCCTGGCAGCAACTGGAGGAGCATGGCTCGTCGAGCCTGACCCTGCTGCTGAGCTCGGCTGCTCTCTTGAGGAGAGAATCGATACCCTGAGGTTTGCTCTGACAGTCTCCATACCAGGGACTAGCGAATCTCGAAGAGCTCCTTTTGGAGGCTTGGTGAGGTTTGTAAATAACAACTGTTGGCACCATTGTCACCTTTTGCTATGAAGGTGTATGTGTAAACAGTGCTGGACAAGGGGGGACGTATCTAGTCACAATGACAAACACTGTTGAATGGTTCACAACTGGTCAAAGTGAGAATCCAACATAAACAGTATGACAACAGTATGAGCACACAAGAAACGTTAGGTTAACACACAGGATGTGTTCCATTGTGGCTGCTGATTTGTGGATGCATGCAATTCGAGATGGGAAATATTTGCCTTCTGACAAAACATGGATTGGCGTTTTCTACATCTTTGAACAAAGTGTATGTTAGCTGTGTAGAATACTACTAACCTTCTACTGCCTGCAAAGACAATTGTTGTACCAGCTGGCAGAACAGCTTGGCTTCAACGTAGTGTTGCAAAAAAATACACTTGTCACTGTTGGATGTAGTTATTAATACATTAAGGAAGTGAGGCAGGTACAAGAGGAATTTTTCTGTATATAATCACTATCAGAGTTGAGATAATAGATGTGTGGCTACTATCACAGTCATACTTGATTTACATAAACACTGAGTCATCCCTTGTGCGACACTGATGTAAAATAGTGGGACATGTTTCTACAGATGCTTAATTAAGATCGAAACTGCAGATGCGCAAAATGAGTGCCCAACCCTGTTGGTTCGTGCATAATACAACAATTCACTAGTAGGCCTCTTTGCCAGGATCTGGCTTCCACAAAAGTGTCAATTTATGTTCTATGGCGATCATTAGCTACATAAACAAAAATGTTGGACTGAATTGCCTTGTTGTGGGTCTGGGGGATGGAGGTCTATTTTGCGGCAAAATCCAGAGGAATGTAGGATTGCTGGAAAGTATGTCATCAATTTACAGACACTGTTTTTTTTTATTGTCTCGGTGCAGACCCAATCAGAGTTCATTGAAAAGGTGATCAGAAAGACCAAATCAGAAGGGAATGAAAACCTCAACCTGACGGAGACCACAGAAAGATACATTCCCTCTTTCTCTCTGACTTGTTATGAGGCAACCTTTGTGCTTGCAAAAGCTCTACATAACACGTGTGAAGGTAAACTATTTAATTTTTTGTCAGAGAGGTTTGCACTTTGCTGGTCCTTTCCCTTATACCTGGCTCCCAGTCCGCTGTGTTAAAATGACTTAAATCTAGGTTAAACTCTTTATCAAGGATTTTTGTGTCGTTTTTCTGGGTTTTATTAAGCATGCAAATGACGACTACTGCATGTTTCTTTTAGATTTGATACGCAACCAAACACTAAACAGGGAAGCAGGGAGGGAGGCAGGACTGTCAGAAGGAGAGACATTCACACTGGCCAACTTCACATACTCCAACTTTGCTATACTCCAGAGAATGTTCCATCACATCAGCTCCACTGACTTTCATGGAATTAATGTAATGCAGTTTAATTGAGTTCACATGTGTACAACCACACTTATATTTAGCTTTATCCACAGGGTAGAGTGGGGTTTGACAAACATGGAATTCGAGACCTTGACAAAGTCACTATAATGCAATATACACCCCGGAGAGGTAAAATGTAACCCACAGTCAATATATATTATTGCAAACACTTTTTAATCCTCTGCCCACATGTGCAACGAGAGTTTCTCTCTGTCACTTGCTATTCTGGCACTACAGGCTATGGCACGGCAAAAAAACAATGCAAACAGCATGTAGGCATGGATATTTTCCACTGAAACCACTGCACCGAGAGTTATTGCATGACACATAACCGAAAAAGCTCACATATCAATTAGCAATGGCTTTCGACTGCCCATCAACACACTGTGGGAGGTATATACAACATTACGTGCTTTTCATTCCTACATTTGTAGTTTACTGCAAAAGTAATATGCACTGATATTCACTGGCAGGTGAATTTTCAGAGGCAGTAGTGGCAACTGTAGCTCTCTCCCAGGGCAGTGACGACCAAGTAAATACTTCGAGAAATGTTACCAAATATCTCTACTGGCCAAGTAAGTAACACTCGCACACAGATGATAATGAAATGTGTTGTTAATCTTTTTCCATTCAGAGGGAATTCCTACAGATGGCTCTCCAGTCCCCCTGGTTGTAACTGTCAGTGTTCCGGTCACAGTCATTTTTACCATCGCCGGAGTGTGTGGGATTATCTTTGCAGCCTTTTTCGGTACTTTCAATTTCCTTTACCGGAAAAAGAGGTGTGTCCAATTTCACGATTTCTTGCAAGGAACTACAATTGTTTGTCATTTTCAACAGAATCATTAGACTCTCAAGTCCAAAATTAAACTACCTGATAGTGTGGGGAGCAATTCACTTGTACCTGAGTGCCATTGGCCTTGTCATACCTACCACTGATCCAGACACTATCGTGGCACTATGCTTCGTGAGTGGCACTGTCTGAGCTGCAACATCATTATTGCTTATATAACAACATTGACTCCTGATCCAATGTAAAAGGCAATAAGATTCCTTATATATGAAGTTGGGAAGCATGTTGAGGTCGAGCATCCGTCAAACACAATGTATGAGGGAAACACATTTGACGCTCGGAGCAAATGCATTACGGGAACGTTTTACTTGAGACACTTTCATTCAAACACATTAGAGAGGCTGATCCAATGTTGACTTCCTTTATACTCTGTGTGCTTTTAGTCAATAGCCAAATTAGTTACATGTTTACTGGTGCATACACTGCGTTGATTCTCCTGTTGTTGCAGCTGAATCTCACAGTCATATACACCGGATACTCGTTGTGCTACGGAACAATCCTTGTGAAGATGTTCAGAGTCTGGTATATCTTCAATAACCACACCTTGAAGAAGAAAATTGTAAGTATAATAATAATAATCTCTAGTTAAAGTTATAACCTAACCTAAACCTATCATATTTTCTGTGATAGAACATTACAGATTTTCATCTTGGTTGTGGGGTGATGAGCCTTGTGGGCATTGACCTGTTTATGATACTGACGTTTGTGGCAGTTCAGGGACTACGCAACCATCTGACTGTGAACCTTGTCCCTAACCCCGAGGAGCCTATCACATTACTTGGAGTAAGTTGTCTTTGGAGATATGTGTTGAATAAAGCTGTGCAAAGAAGTTGAACCACAGAACATAAGTATTATAAGGATTTTTAAGTGAGAGTGGACGTTTTTTGAAGCTCGACTTTTCTCTTTGCTCACAGCCCACTCAAATTGTACAAGAGAATTTTGTGTATTCGTGTGAATCTGATGGACGGACTGCACTGGTCATCATGCTCTACATCAGTAAAATTCCTTCTCCAAGTGTTCTCTCTTGTCCTCGCCTTCTGGACTCGCAATGTCAAAGTGAAAGGCCTGGACGATTCCAAATACATCCCCTCTGCCATTTACGTCAGCACCATTGTCCTGCCCATATCGCTGACGGCAGCGTTTACGCTGCGGTCACACGTGAATGCTTTTCCAGCCGTTTTGAGCACTGCACATCTATTCGGAGCAACAATAATCCTTGTCATTGTGTTTGTTCCAAGGGTAAGAGGTATACTCTAGCCTTTCTTATGCATGGAATCTAGCTCATATTAACACATAACCAGCCACTGACACCGTAGCGTAGGAAGATGTCAGACAAAGGGGGCTCCAAATGCGCATGCATAAATATCATACGCTGCGCGCGCGATCACTGTCACACTCGCTCGCTTTCTACTCGCAAGCCTGAGAAAAGAGAGGGGGGCGTCAGCCCCCGGAGCCCCTGCGGTTCCTACGCCACTGTGACACACAAAAAGTCAAGAAGAATCTATTTAGAGGTTAGGCACTAATACTTAAGGAGATTTTCATGATGTCCAAAAAGTTAATGTTGATAATGTATGTGCATATCCCCTATTGGTGGTAGCATGATTTTATCTCTACAGATGATTGGACTGTACAAGGATCCAACAGGAATAAACGTCTTTGATAAAAGGTACGGCTCTCCAAACTACGATGAGAATGATGTGGTGGCACTTCGTCGAGATGTGCAGCAGCTCAGGGTCACCCTGCACTTTGCCCAGGTCAGTCCCAGTATGGAAATGTCTGAGAAGCAATGTTCTGGCACATTCTCATGATATCTAAATGACTGTGTAAAGCATTTCATGTGGATGTAATAATAAGACAGTTGTTTGATGGTAGTCATCCATCATTAATGCGTTTTGATCTTGGTCCATACATGTGCCTAACACGCAATGTAAAGGATATGATAAAGGAAAAAAACGTGGATAATTTGTAGGGGGAGTATTCGAACAAAGGACCTCTGGTCATGATCAAATGCACCTCACTGCCTGGGCCAGCTATGCATAAATAATATATACATGGATCGGTTGGGACATGGGTTACTGATGCAATTTTAGGCATGTTGGGGAAGATTGCCTTTGTTTGTCTCTATTACATTGTGTATGTGCAGACCCAATGAGCCGAGGACTCTGCTAGCTAAGATGTACTAAATACAGTGGAACCATGCGCTAACAATACCACTGTAATGAACATCCCTCTTTTAGAAAAGTTCTTGCATACTGTGTACACCAGGTAGCCTCTCTCTATGGGCGCAACTCTAGTGTCCGGATTAAAGGGTTTCAGTAAGAAACAATTATGAAGTTGTTACATAGTTAGCACCGTAGACATTACAGTGATAATTGCGAGTTCATAATAATACTTTCCCCTAAAATACTTCTTGATACGGTGGCTTGCACTGCAAACTACAAAATACTGTTGCCAGTATAGGTTTAGAGTTGCACTCATGCAGTTTATGGATTTATGAATTAGTTATTTGCACAGGAGGTTGGAAGATGCTAGTGTTTGCGCGTTATGGTTCTTATAAGGCAAAATATGTAAAAGGATAACTAGCCACGAAAGATATACAGTTTTATACTGTTAGTTGTTAGTTGCAGCTCAAGAAACACCAATTTCATAATCTCTCAATTTGCGTCCACCTCCTATGAATAACTTGGCCGGCTGTTTCCGCCTACGATCATTATTAGATTCTTTTGTGGCTTGGATTCTTTGTTGAATTGTGTTCATCGCTTCTTTTTTGACAGAAGAGGTGCAAATGTTCAAGTGCTACCAGCGACAACACAGATGGGATGGCTGTAAACAAGGTCAGCAAGACAAGTCAGAGTCAGGGCTCTCAAATCACTGCATCTCAGGATACCAACTGATCGTCCCAGGACATTTCAAATGGTGTTGTATACAACAGCCTGAAACAGTGTTAACACATATTATGTGTGTATATAATATAGCAATAATAAGAGACTCCATGTTTCACTATTTTCTCACATCATTATACCCTTCCACTTAACACCAAGCAAATAGGTTTGAAATAGGATTTTTATTCTTAGCTAACTACTGCAATGAAGTTTTGGGGAGGGTGAATTTGATTGCAACGATGAACGTGAGGTCCCACATTGAGACAGAGTAATTATTTTTATAACCCCTTCCCTACAACTTGCTTTGGATGTGCTCTAGAATGATGACCCTCTCCTGCACATATAGTGCGATTAAAAGTGTTGATTCCACCAATTGTCGTTTCTGTTACCTGGTTGCAACAGACAGTTTTCTAGTCATATAGCCGTTCATTAAAAGCACTTAAGTGGCAAACCCTCGACGAGCTACCCATACGTGGTAGTCTACCGCTGTTGGGCTGGGCTATTAGCATGCGTTTAATCGCGGTTTCCCGCTGGTATATAGCTCGTGGAGAGTCTGGCTATATAGTAGATAGCATACGAGAGTCGATACACGCCCTCCTTTGTGACTCCTTGTGCGTCCAAGGTACACAGAACGAGCGGACCCGGTCGAGGTAGCCTGTGCAAATTTGCAAATATAATTTTCCGCAGCGAAAAAACTACGCATTAGCCTGCTGGAAGCGCTCTAGCTTTGCAAAGGAGCATTTTCAGGTAAAACGGCTAGAATTTTCTGACCTTCATTGCCCGTTAAGTAAGTCGTATCGTTTCTGAGACGAACGAACATTGGAGAAGTGAGATGTTGAGTAATAGACACACACACAGACCGAAAGAAAAGCACTACAGTGTAAACCCTCGGCGAACTGCGCATGCGTGGTACCAATATTGATGGACTGGGCTATTTCGTGGTGGTCACCCGCTTTAGCAGCTCGCTGAAAGTCTGGCTAGCTACAGTAGTAGGACACACGCCCTTCGTTGTGACTTGACTAGTGTGCCGTGCAATCCTGCGACTAGATTAATGTTCGTCAAAATTGCATGGGTGTGTATTACTCGAAGCTGTTGTATAATTATTGTGCAGCAAGTGTGTTGTTTTCCACATGCGTGCCTAAACTAAATGAAACAGCCATGATCTGACAGACACAACATAATGGAGAGCATACAGACATCTAACTATATAGGCACATAAAACATTAGTGTTATCATAATAATATAATAATAATATTTCAAGTTTACTACTGTAGAGTAGCTAAAATTGTACATGTCAGTTGAGACGTGGATGGTTGAGGTCTAGGTATCCAGCCATTCCCTCCAGACTAGTGGAGATGACAGTCACCAGTTGAGAGAAACTTGGTTTCTTCCATGGCTGCCGCTCCCAACACTCCCTCATCACATCATATCTCATGGTGAAATATATAGTGTACACCTCTGATTAGGGACCCTCCATCATAGGGACTTCCTCTCTACAAAGGACACTTGTTTCAACCCCACACTATACTCCAGTGTATTATTTGACCCCAAGAATAGTGACGATCTCTGTACAAAAGACAAAATCTTTGGCACCATAGTATCCCTGCAGTAAGTAAATTGTTCATCTCCCCACATTTCCTGGGAACAGGCAGCATTGAGAGGCTTGTCTAGTCTCTCTCCTCTCTCCAGATATCTGATGAGAAAAAAGTGGTCCACCCCAAGGTAGGGGTTCTTCCCCAGTGAAAACACCTCTCAGCATGTCACTCCAAATGACCACTGCACAATGGGACACAATGATTGTAACACTTGCCGGTAAGTGGCAGCTCCTACCACATCGGTTTTCTTAGAGAAGATTCCGTCATTCAAACTCCCCAGAGCCATCCATTTCACAGGCAGCTTCACAGGAGGCTCTCCATCCTCGTCTTGCTCTGTTGTTTGTCTGAAATAGTTCCCGGCATAGATATCCTCTGACTGACCAAAGTCGGCAACCTTTATCACATTGTTCAGGTCAATCCTGACATTACAAAGGTGATACACAAAGCACACACTAAAACAACAGACACTTTCATACAAAAATATCATACATGCAGTTCCTTGCTGCGAGGTCCTTGCTGCGAGGTCACGATGAATAAACTTATTGTGTCAAGTATTCCATGCCTTTTGCAACTTGTAAACATAGTGAAAGAAGCCTTGCTCTAGCTTCCATCTATTGTTTGGCAATAAGAAAAGCAATTTTTTAAGTCACATACTACTGAGGTTAAATACCAATTCTTCGTTCTCCACTGTAAAATCCGCTCTATTCTTCCTCAGATATGTAAAGAGGCTTCCATGGGCCATGAATGGCATGATAATGAACAGGGTCTTACTCCCACTGATTGATGACACACCGAGCAGCTTCATAACATTGGGATGATCAAATCCTGCCATGATCTGACTCTCTTCAGCCAAACGTTTAACATCACTCAAACTGAACCTTCCTGCAGGTAAGTTGCATAACTTATTATCACCAAAACTATAAACTAGCACACCTTTCAGTGTCTTTACTGCGACCAAATGGTGAGTATAGCCCTTCCAGTTGTATAACATAGCTTTGTATACGATTCCAAACTCACCTTTTTGTCAAGAGGACAATTATTATTGATGGTAATGAACATTTTTTACCTTTCGCCAATGACGCTCCTCATAGTAATGCTGGTAAGTGGCATTGTTGATAGTTTCCATCTCGGTAGAAGACCACACCAATTCTTGCTACGTGAGGCAAGCTATGAAAGGGCTGATGAGCCATAAATCGGCGACCTATTTGTGCGAAATTCTCTTTCCTGCTACTGTATAGCAGTGTGCATTGCCTCATAACACCAACCCAAAAATGCATTCACGTGCAAGTAGGATTGCCAGTGGTCGAAGTAGTTAGTGGTCGAAGTAGTTAGCTACTGGTGGCTGGGTATTTGTTCTATAGGTGTATATAGCTGGGATAATAATAACAAGTGGAAATGTTGAACATTGTTGGCGAGCGGGAGCGACCCAACTTGGGATTTTCCCGCGATGTTCGGGCTGCCGTCAGCGCACAGCTTTCCAACACAGATCTACCTGTCGCCGTTACATGCGTATTGTACGTCATTGGCAGAACGGTGAGCAGGTGAGCAGAACGGTATATACCTACCTTACGAGACGTGGTCATAGCGTATTATACTATTTGCAAGTTGCACCTTGGAACCATGAAGATTGGGAAGAGGTACAGCCTCGGTTAGTCACCCAAGGTTACAGCGCATGCTGTCGAATGGAGAGGAGGGTTCTCTAGCTGGCTAGATCGATCGGCGCATATCGCGAGACACCGTGTATGAAAATGTGTAAAAATTTGGAAATAGTTTCGGATAAAAAGAAGCGCGTACAAAGCCGCGCATGCGCATTTACACGACGTACGAACGATAAATATACAAGTGGAAAAATCATTTCTTCAAAATGAAAGTGGGATATAGGGATGACTTGAAGCACCAAAAAGGAAGAAACAAGGGGTCATTACACACCAAATATGCACAAAGCCACATGACACCATCCCTATATCTTTGTAAACTTTGCTTATGAACAATAAAACACAGATATAGGGATGGTGTCATGTGGCTTTGGGAATATAAAAACCGCATGCATATTATGTACAAAAATGACAACTGACAGTGAAAAAACAAACATAATCCGTTCTCAACACCTCTACAGAGGGTTATGAGTTGGGAAATCCCGACTCCACCTCACGACATGGCTACGTTTGGTGTCAGTCAGTGGGTTATCTCTTGTTGAATCATGACTGCTGGCATAGATGTGTAACTGGTGGTTCTGGTAGCGCTCGGCTGATGACGGGCTGGAGGCCATGTAGTCTGGGTTTGATACGCTCACTGTGCTTCCTATCTGAAAGGTCTATTGAAACAGAGCCAGTAGGTAAGTCGATGTTGGTTAATGTACAAATAAATGACACAAATCTGTTTAACTTAACTAGAGGCAAGTAAATGACTTCATAGTGACACTTTAAATGGCATCTGTCATAATTATGGTTGCTTGCCAAGAATGCATTGTATCTGTTCTAAATAGCTAAGTATCATCAAAGAGAGGCTGAAGTGTAACCATAGGACATGATGGTGCTAAAACATGTCATGAGTGGAAGGAACTTAAAAATACATTACCTGGGATGGCTGCTGGCTTCTCTCCAGCTCAGCAATCCGCTGCTTCAGTCTCTTAATCTCAGCCTCTGGGGAGTAGACGGAGTCCCTGCGTGGGACGTCGTGGGAGCTGTGAGTGATGGAGATCTTTATGTTCTCCCCCTGTGGATCCTGGTACAGACCCACCATCTGCCGTGATAACATTATGAGTATCAGACACATTCAACTGAACATCGAGTAATGAATTTACAAATAGGTCGGTTATGAGGTAGTAGCACTAATATTCAAGTGGATTCAAATCTCTACAGATTTTCACACTTATTGCCATAACAACCAGAGATAGCATTGGAGAATTGTCCAATTGGGAAACTTTAGCTAAAACATATCATCAGGCATGTAGATTAGTCGAAAAGGGATAGCCTTAGGCATTAAAAGGAAAGGAGCAAGGGGTAGATATTTACTAATCAAATCCACACACACTTACACATATTTTATTCCGAGTTTAGAGGCTGGTTGTATGCATATCACATGAGATTTTACATATGTCATCTTAATAGAGATTGTCTACTTGATCAATGTGTACATACATTCATCCTGGAACTCACTCGAGGAACAAACACCAGGCCCAGGATCATTGTAGTTCCTAGCAGAAACCCCATTCCCACCACAGCTGGATAGATATTGACATAGTCCATCAGAGTGTAAGTGGAGATTGCTGTAACAGCCAGCACTATACTGGTGACGTAAATGGCAGCCGCAATGTACTTGGAGTCATTCAGACCCTTGATTTTGACTTTGCGGATGTTAAAGGCAAGTATGAGTGCCGTGACTTGAAGAAGTCCCTTGTACCCAAAGAGAACTGTAAACAGGGCGAGTTGTCCCCTTGACTTGCAGACATACAGGTAGTATTGGTGGATTTCACATGTTGGCTATTCAGGGAAACAAGAAATAATGTTGGTTTATGAACTTGTCAGTGGTAGCAAAGATTTTATACACTGAAGTATTTTTCAATTTCAGACTCGACTTGACTACTGGACTAATTTAATTATGCAACTAGGTTTTTGCAGTAGCATTATCTCTAGCTATAGTTCTAGCGTAACAAACGTCTTGAATAGCAGAGAGTCTGCCAAACACTGCATATACTCGATGCATACTACATAGATGGAAGTATGACATTAGTAATATCGAGACATCAGTTGTACATACCCCAATAGTATCTTCCATATTTTCTTTGTTGGTGGTTCTCGTGACGCCAAGTTCCCCCCTCAGTACCTCCTCCACCAGGGTGAATATCCCAAGAATGAGGACATCTATTACTACCAGACTGAAGACAAACAGAGCCAGTGCATAGTCCTTGATCACTATCTGAGAATGGGAAGGAACGTGTATTCCATTATTAGTTTTTTCCACCGACAATGAACCGCATTTAATCCACCTCATGCAGAATGGTGTTGTTAATTAAATATGAACAGAAACAGGGTTTTCTAAGGGGCAACTTGGGAAATTTCCCCCTAAAATAGCTTTGCTAACAGTGCCACTGGGTTATCTTAAACCCCCATAGAATTAAATCTATTTGCTTTCCCCATCGAAAAATGCTGATAAAGTATGTTTTCTCTCTTGACTATTGAAGTGAGAAAGACCGTGGCTTTTGGAAACTAGTTTGACTTTTCTTCTTACTACCAGTCTTAGAATGTACCGAAAAGGCAACATACTGATTTTGTCACAGAGGGGACAGGAGGCTTGTTGAAGATGAACCATATCCTGATTGTCTTTGCCAGGATAGTGCCATAGCACAGGGAATAGCCGAGAGACGTCAGCCAGGGATTGATCTATTGTGGAATTGCGGAAAAGGCTACTCACTGTGATAACTAGATAAACTGTATTACATTGCAGAGTACAGCAGCAAAGTGCGTGTTTGTGGTGGGAATGACGAGAGTGATGATATTGAGGTAGAGAACTATAGCTCCCAGTCCAATCAGGTAGTTGAGGTTAGGACTGGAGAGTCGAATTAACCTATGAAATAAGAAGTAATAGTTATGGCTAATAAAAGGTATCTGTTGGTGGAGACATACTTTCTGTTTCTGAATATCAGTGTGAAAAAGATGCACACAACAGCAAACGCAAGACCAGCAGCAGCAAACACCACATAGACCACTGTCAGACCCACTGAGACCGTCACCACATCCTCAATTGGTACCCCATCATTAGGAACACCATCTGGTGTAGAGCATTATTTAGAAAAGTGGCTGAGGTGATATGCATGCCTCACCTGGCCACATCCCCGGACTATCACGGGAGAATGGTTGGTGATAGTGGATAACTAGGCTCTCATCCACATGTACTACCGCCACATTAGCACGGAATATTTCTGAAAAATCAAAGTAAATGCAGAATTTTGGTATATATGGTGGTATGGTAGTATAGGAGCTAGTTGGCAAGCAAAGCGAGCCTACCATGTCGTCTGAAATTGGGATTTTTTATTAATAAAATGTAGTACGTGACCACTGCACATACTGTAATGGTTTACATCTAACTACACGTAAGTATGTATGTGACACGTACCGTAATGTTTTACGTGATTTTAAATACGCTTGATCACTATCACTCACAAAATAATGTGTGGTATTCGTCGTCTTTAACATTCTCTAGCATAACTCACTGGTGTTATTCCATTGATACTGGTACACGTCGAGCACATTAATTTGTCGAATTCCATCTTCATCGAACCTCACTGTCTTCCCCTGCAACAAGCAAATCCTAGTCAATAACTATGGGAGTCACTAATAAGAATTTTTACCGATAATCCATCAAAACTGGTGTTTTGTAGGTATTTGACCATCTTTTCTACAAAAACGGTGTTTTCTACGAGGTTTTTTGAAACGACCACAGTAGTATTCTGCTCTTCGTTATTCTTTAGGTCTGAGAAAACAAAACACAAACTTTATGTAAATCGTTATTTTAGATGGTGTGACATGATAGATATGGGCCAAAAAAATATGCTCACCGTTAATCGTTTTGTTAAGAGCAAATGCAAGAGTTAATGTGGCCTCATGGCAGTGCTGGGCATAGTAGAATGGATCTGATCGATCGGGAATATACGATCTCAAATTTATCTCTTCATTTACTTCCATTAGAACTGCCTCTCGATAGTGTTCAATGTACATGGCTGCAGTCTGTAGGGAAAAGCAAATGTGTAGCTATGAGCAAACACGTATATTATTATACACAGGCAGGCAGAAAAAGGAGCTTATTATCCCCTCTCCGTCAGTAATATTGGCCACAGACATTCGAACAAGGCTGTGTATGTGGAGTAGAGGTGTGGGGTGCGTGACATTTGCACAAAAAGACAAGGATGGCAGCAGATGTAGCAGTCTACGTCCAATGCTAGATGTGTGCTTAATACAGAAGGTATTATAGTGGTATAAAAGCTCCAAATCCATTATCAGCGCATGCACCAAAACAGTATGCTATCGAATCGGTATCAAACAAGAACATGTTGTTCACAACCTCTAACTTACAGTCCCAGACACATCTGGGGCAGTCAGGTTAGTGAAGGCCTCCTGTACTCTTGGTGCCAGGGAGTAGGCCAGGGCTTGAGACCGCTGTTCAGGAGTACAGTTGAAGTTTTTGGAAGATGCCTTGCCTGTCCACCACTCTGAGCCATACCAGCCATATGTGATCAGCAGGTACTTTGGGTACCCTATCCCTTCATAGTATGCCTGTGACATATCAGCATAGTTGTGTAAAGTGCCTTTCTGGCAATGAATAGGTAAACTATTAACCTTGCACAGGAAGTCTCGAGCATGGCTTGCATACATGGCAACCACATATATCCTGGTGTCAGGTTCCTGGAGACAAAAATATGTTGGCTAATGCATACAACCCAGCTTAATAAAACACAGCCAGATGGACATAAAAGGTCCAGATTGAAAGACAATGACATACCAGGTACATATACTCGGAAGTAACACAATTACAATTTTTGCTGTTAGTCTTCCATAGGCATAAACACAGTTCTCACTGAACCAATGCAAAAGAGTATCTAGATGGAGTTGTAGGCACTCCGCCTTAGGTGAAAAGCTAGCAAATTAACCTTGGCTACCGGGTAAGTTACAGCACTTCGTACAACTGGTTTAAAACTTAGATAAGCACATTAGCACCCTAAAAAGCCCATTCTACCCTACAACTTTAGGGTTAAGTAATGTGGCCATAAACTTAGATGAGCGGCCCAGACTTTGCATTCTTTTACCCATTCAATTGGAATTCTTGCGTGATTCTCATGCTTTTGATGTGCCTGATAGCAACTAAGATTTTCTGGCTCTTTGGTTACAACACTGTATACTCACAAATATTCCGCCACTGAGTCCATCGATTCCGTCCTCTGTGTTGAAGAGCTTTTCAGTAAAGTCAACTCCAGACTCTGCCAGTTGCTCCTTCAGTACATCCATTGTCTGCATTGAAAAAAATGTAGGTAATGTATACACTTCCATTCTAACATGCTGTAAGAGTTGTAGGTTTTCCCTTAACTCTTTGGGGTGAGGGACACAGCATCCATGCGTCACTAATAAGCAACAATCATGCCATGTTTTTCACGGACCACCAAGGACCTTCAGTTTAAACGCAGCCAGTAGCTACCAACTTAAAAGCAGTAGCTTAAAACATTGGTGTTATGCTATAACGTGTGCGCCAAATGAGGCCCCAAAAGTCATATATATGAAAAGCTCAAAAGGTATACATTTATAATGTGTATAGAGAGTACGTTTTCTACATATCATAAGAGTTATACCTAATGTCATAACATAGTACATACTTCTTACGTACCACTGTGAAGAGGTTTTCATTCTGAATGATGAGGCTGATTCTCTTCCAGCCATAGTGGGTGATGATCTTAAAGAAGCCTTGTGCTATCTGACTCTCAGCAGCCAGCAACTGGAAGTAGTACCTGTAATACAGTGAAAATTGCATCATCCCCAATGTTTATACATTTTACTCATTGCATGGTGACTGCTTATGCATAAGCAATCATGCTGCTAAAAAGGCTGTTGGGAAACAAGAGAAAAAATTGCAGTGCCGAAATTGTTATCAGAGTGTCAGTATACACACTATACATGGATGACATGACTTCTACTCTAATCTCATTATAACAGCCAACCTTCATTATTTAGTAAGCTTATCATACTTTCAGTAAAGTGACCTAACTGATGAATGATGTTTCCTCTCTTATGGTACATCACTACATTGTATATCTTTCAGAGAACTCACCTAAATCTATTCCTATTCTTTAGCTCAGATGAGGAGCTGACACATGAAACCTACATTAAGAAAGTTGCACTTGCTTACAGTCATCAGCACAAAAAGCACTAAACAGATGTGTTTTGAAAGGTTTGATGGGCCGGGCTTCACCAGGCTGTGTTAGTTTCTCACTCCAATACGTAGTGGAGGCATCATGAATGGCAATTCTAGACAGAATACTCATACTCCAAAAAACCTTTATGTCCTCACATGTGTACTGAACGGACCTCGAATTACATAATTATTGGCTATATAGTACACTTGTGTTTCGCGAGTTCAGTTGTTTCAGGAAATTGTCTTTTTAATAATATAGCACTGAGGCCTTTCACATTGCTAATTTACCGCAATTTTGCCTGCAGTACCTTAATAGCTATAAAAGACGGACAGACATACACACAGACCAAGTCTTATGCTCTTGTGTGCCGAGGGTTTAATTACTAGGATTGGCTATGCACACTGCTTGGGGAGGACTATACATTTATGTTGTGATACGTCACTCTACGCCTGTGTTTGTGTGTTGTAGCTGCTTTTCTGTAGCAGTCTCAATGGCAGCAATATTGGGTTTGGCACACCTGAGAGGGAAACAGTTGAGAAATAGGAAGGATGGAGCAAGGAGTGATGGTTAGGTTCACGATTACCTGGAAAGGTTACCGGAGAGCTTTAGGCTTTTAAAGGGCTAATGGGCTTCTTGGCTCATTTCAGTGATACAAGATGTTATATACACTTCTGACGCTCTTCAGCACTTACTCAGATATTCTAATCAATAGCTAGTCATAACTGGAGAAACCACCAAACTGTGAATATTTCAGGCCATAACTCAATCATGTGTGGCATAACTCACTGAGTATGAAAGGAATGCACAATATAACTAGTATGAGAGTGTACAATATTGATCAAAATCAGCCTCATTCTCAAGCTCCATGTCACGAAATAAAAACATGAAACAGTAGTAGTCTTGTGAAAAACAATTTCACTTCTGTAAGGCACAGTATGACCATAAACATTGCAGCATTAGGAAATTTTACCTTACACAAAGGCTAGATGTAGCTATAAATGTTAAATGCTAGTAGAGATTGAACAAAGCAATTAATCGCACTAATCTCTAACTTTTTTAGTGACATTTTCTCAATTGAGGGTAGGCCTTACAATATGTATAATATCTGTCGAATTTTCCGTCAGTGTCGAATGTCCTGATTTACAAACTCTTGCTTGTCCACAATAGAGAGTCTTCCACTTGTTTACAATCACTGTTTCACAGCTTCGTACATTGAAAGTGTAGACAGCTATAAACAACCTCCTTGTTTCCTCTATCTCACCTGTGTCCACTTAGTGTGCCATACATGAAAGTAACTGTGCTGTCTTTGCACAAGCATAATATTATTGGTGGGTGTAGCACAGGCCGCATGGTTGATTGGCAAGTGAAGCAAGCCATCCTAGTCATCTGCATGCAGGATGTCTTATGTACGGGCACTGCCACATACAACATTGTTGTACATAGCTACGTGATTCAAAAAAAAGAGTGTGAAACGCACGAAAAATCAAAATGCTCACTTTGCTCAGCAAAAATAGTATGGACGCCATGGGGATCTGCTTAAATAAGCAGAAATTGATGTATGGAGTGTTTGAGCCTAGCATTATATAAATTCTTATGGACTTACTCTGGACACATTTATGTGTTGGTGGCTGGTTAAGTGTTAATAGCTCACATGAGTGTCTTTGTTACTAATTTAAAGTGTAAATTGTTTCACCTCTTACAGTGCCCAGTATAGGAGGTATCATGTATTACCTGAGGGATGTTGAAGAACTGTGAAATCTCTGCAGTGGGCTCTGTGGCAACTGAGCAGCCCGATCCAACCAACCCCAGTTTGACATGTTCCGAGCTGAGTTGCTTGAAGAGCGACTCGAGAGCCATCGACCTGTTACACTGGGATAGACAGGGATATGATCACTTGTTACATTACCATCCGCCATGCATACTAAGTAGCTACGAAATATCCAAACTGTCCAGACAATTATGTAATCGGAGATAAACATAAGATTGGTATGCTGATAAAATCCCAGAGTACATATTTCTAAATAGGAGGAGTGAACAGGAATGCAACCTAAGGAAACTTTGCTTGTAAACACTTCTTGGCTCAGACAACCTATAATACAGCTACTGTTGCTACGCACTTGATCAAATTCCCCACACTGCCTGAAGCAGGGACTGCCATACTATACTGGGAAGTCTTATCAGTGTGTTGTTACAACACATTTCTGGTTACCATAGCAGAAGCCATGCATGACAGCATAGTTTTACACAAACAGTTGGTGCATAACAAAACAGTGGTGTTATCATCTATGGAACTTAATCAAATTTGACCTTGGTATCGTAAAATCAACAGCAAAATGGTAAGTGTTCCTCATTGTCATGAATGGGAAACAGTATAATATGCATGAAAAAGCTTCCTTAATCAACATCCTTTAGAGGTTTACAGATTTTTTTCTTCTACAAGTTGTCTTCCTTTGTTACTTAGCTATGCGTGCAATAAACCCATGTAAAAAACAAAGATGTAAGGATAGGGTCCGGTTATAAATAAATCTGTCTCAGTGTAGGTAACATTCTCGTTCTCCTGTTTTTCATGACGTGACATCCCTACATCTCTCTTCAATTTCAGAGACTCTATACCTGGGAGTCTGTGAGGGTGTAGTGAAGACTGTATCCAGGGAGGATGGAGGGTTCACTGTTGATGTAGTCGAGTGCTATCTGGACTCCCGGCAGTGCTCCGATGCTCACATAGTCTCCTCCGAAAGAAAGCATGAGAGCAAAGTAGATATCCGTAAGATCATCAGTGTCGTTGACTGGAGGGTAGACCTGTAGGTAGACTTGGTCCTCTGTGTTGGCCCATGTACGTAGTACCAACAGTAAAGACAGAAAGAGGCTGTACGTTAGCGTCTGCTTCTCAACCATGTCGAATAGCTACGAGTTGAAATTATCGCGGTTCCGCTGGAGTGCGCTGCAGCACAAACACTTCCGGTTGGCGAGCATGTCACAGCACAGGCGCGGGTTCGGTTTGTGTGGCAGTCCGAAGTCGATGGCGGATGTAACGGTAGTTTCCCCTGACTAAAATGTTGGTCCGGCCCTTTCTCTCGGCCTATTGCGCGTCCAAGCCAGGTGTAAACGAACTCACTTTATCTATGCTCAGTGATTGTAGGCCTGATCTATAAGTAGCGAATAAAGAGCCTGACGAGGCAAAGGCTCACAGATGAGTCTATACCAGCCGCCTACGGCTTTTGGAAAGAGCGCATTTTTGCGAGAGATTTACAGTCAAACATTTTTAGCCTTTCTCGCAAGGATGATTTAGATGATCTCACACAAAAGGGTTAAACTTGTTGAAGGTCAAATTCAATGAACCGTCACTTCTTTTTATTTATTAGCTACTTATATTTTGTATTTTGTATGCAATCTGAGCATATCTTGGGTACAGAAAGGTGCATGTCTAAAACAACTTGGTAACGAGATAGAAAGGCAAGGCAAGGCAAGGCAAACAAGTCAACTACACTCAGGACAGCCCTTTCTTTTCAAAGAAAAAAAGAGCTGCCCTAGGTGGGATTCGAACCCACGACTCTGCTGTCTAGGCGGATCAGGTCGCGGTAAGCCCAGTGTGATTATGCATATTGGCTTTTTCGCTTGTTTTCACGGCATATCTCTCGAACGAAGTCGTTTCAGGAAAATCGCCTAATTCTTTTACAGGCTCCCGTAGTTCTGAATCCGCTGGTATCGCTAACGGGCCGCTTCGTAGCCTGTAGTGCCAGAATAAGCGTCGACACACACACACACACACACACACACACTAATTAACAGCATGGGAAGTTTTGACTTTAGTAGACATAACATCCACAACAAGGTATAAAACAGCCAAGCTTGCCTGTAGTAGCTCAGTTAGGAGCAAGAGTGAAGAAAGAAAGAAGTGAAGAATAGAGAAGACCAAAGAATGAAGCAAGTTATTACTAAGGATACGTAGCTGCTATACTAAAATTGCCTTCATATAATGTAGGTTAGTTTGTAAGTACAGTAATTGTAGCCATGTAGTAGGCAAATCTGGACTCCAACCAGGTGGAGTGGCCTCGCCCTTTCTGGAGTGTCTCACGTGTCGGGAGTTTAAAGAGGCCGAAACGCGTGTGACATGGTGAAAGATTGGGAACTCCCCTGATGACCAGTAACAAAGAGCCTAGCACTGCGCCTGCATGTTGCTGGACTTGTGGATAGGTTTACATGTACGTTTAAGCACCTGGCTGGCTGCATGCGGTGACGCCGACAAAAGCCGCTCGCCCTCTCTCGTTAGCTTTAGTCCTGCCTACACTTTACCTCTCTCTCTTCTTTCCCCAATCACAAACACACACACACACACACACACACACACACACACACACACACACACACAGAGACAGACTGAACGACTACCGTAACCCTCGCTGCGCATGCGCGCCGAGGGTTAATAAAAATGAGCGCAATGCGGCGATGCGCTACAGTTAAGATGTGGCAAGGAACTGCCAGAGGTCATTCCTCTGTGTTTCGGGGCGGGAAGTACAGGAACTGGGATGGGGTGAGCATGACAAACGCTGTTCAAGCAGTGCGGCGGCCGGCGGGGGGAAGCCGTTCGCCGTATAAACGTACCTAGGTCGAAGCTGTCTGATAAGGTTTTAAAGGCGAGGACATGGCCAACTTCCTATATATTTGATTCCAGAATAAGAGGAAGAGCTTATATACCAGTTTCCTCATAGAAATGGCTAAAATTGGCTATGTTCACACATAGGAAGCAAATCATAGCTCTTGTGGAACAGATAGTTGAAAGTAAGGGAATTGAAACAGTTGTGAGTTCCTGTACTTCCCGCTAGTGGGTGGTGGGAGAGATATATTAAGCGACACCCTCAGATAACGTTACTTGTGGCTGTCCCACTGCCTACGGCACGAGCAATGGCTTCTGACCGAGATGTTCTGGATCGGTACTTCAATATGCTTGAAGACTGCCTACGACCCTGGACCACATTATCGATTGTGACGAAACTGGCGTAGCTACCACTAAGCCTTGGAAGATTATGCTGGCATAGTTTTGAGAAAATAGGGGTGTATGAGCATTGAGAATTCTGCTGGAAAAATAGGCAAATGATTTGACAAAATCTTTCATGCGCATGCTCCCAACATGATGTGTCATGTGACAAAAATGGCCGAGGCAGAGGTCGAGACCAAACGTGAGGCAGCAGCAGAAAGAGTGTTCTCGCTATATACTTTATCAGCAGGAATCTTCCTCGGAGGACTATTTACAGCTATCTGTCGTGTTACGGTAGAATGATTTTGTAATTGCACAGTCATAAACACTTTTATGAGAAAAATGGGCACATTCGAAAGAAAAATGGGTGAAATAGAAAATAGGTTAAACGTTGAGCATAATCTGCCATGGCTTAGTCTCCAGTCTCCATCACTCCCCTCGTCTCCAGTCCCCCTCACTTCCCCTCGTCTCCAGTCTCCAATCTCCTCACCCCCCTCCCATCTCCAGTTTCCCTCACTCCCCTCGTCTCCAGTCTCCCTCACTTCCATCGTCTCCAGTCTCCTCACTCTCTAGTTGTACTGCACTTACTGCACTTACAGCCTTATCTGCACTTTGTTTGGCACTTAGGACCTTTCCATTGTTATCGTATTTCAAACTTCCATTGTTATTGGACTTGCATTGTTGTTGCACTTGTACCTTGAGCCCCCTTCTCTCTCTACCCAATTCAGATTATTTCATAGACAAGCGACATACTCGAGGTTGCGTAATGCATGAACCAGCATGAGCCAGAGCAGTGCGAGCAAATACACTGCTACATTCGCAATCTGTGTGGGCTACGATGGAATTTACCATCAGTGGCATGAGGCTCATCACAGTGTTGATTTGCAGGACGTCTATGTGGTCAGAAATAAACCTGTGTGCATGTCATTGAAGCCTGTATATGCAGTGCTAGAATTCGATCTGTTCAGTGATCTGTTCAGTGCAGTCCGACAATGGGGAGCAATGTTAAAACACAGTGATCAATTCAGTGTGAACTAAGGTAGGATGAAGTATAATAATAATAAATGCATACACATTATGGTGCAAAACCAGCTCAGTTTATAGTGTAAAGTGTTCTTCGCAGTATATAATTAGGCTCCTCGATTTTATAATATCGTAATGGCAATGTGTTTTT